TTTCAGATCTGGTTTCCTCAGTGTTTATGCCCAGAAGTGGGATTGCCAGGTCATATGGCAGTTCTACTTCCAGTTTTTTAAGGAATCTCCACACTGTTCTCCATAGCAGCTATACTAGTTTGCATTCCCATCAACAGTGTAAGAGGGTTCCCTTTTCTCCACACCCTCTCCAGTATTTATTGCTTGTAGACTTCTGAATAGCAGCCATTCTGACTGGCGTGTAATGGTACCTTATTGAGGTTTTGATTTGCATTTCTCTGATAATGAGTGGTGTTGAGCATCTTTTCATGTGTTTGTTAGCCATCTGTATGTCTTCTTTGGAGAAATGTCTGTATAGTTCTTTGGCCCATTTTTTTATTGGGTCTTTTATTTTTCTGGAATTGAGCTGCAGGAGTTGCTTGTATTTTTGAGATTAATCCTTTGTCTGTTTCTTCATTTGCTATTATTTTCTCCCATTCTGAAGGCTGTCTTTTCACCTTGCTTATAGTTTCCTTTGTCGTGCAAAAGTTTTTAAGTTTCATTAGGTCCCATTTGTTTATTTTTGCTTTTATTTCCAATATTCTGGGAGGTGGGTCATAGAGGATTCTGCTGTGATTTATGTCGGAGAGTGTTTTGCCTATGTTCTCCTTTAGGAGTTTTATAGTTTCTGGTCTTACATTTAGATCCATTTTGAGTTTATTTTTGTGTATGGTGTTAGAAAGTGTTCTAGTTTTATTCTTTTACAAGTGGTTGACCAGTTTTCCCAGCACCACTTGTTAAAGAGGTTATCTTTTTTCCATTGTATGTTCTTGCCTCCTTTGTCGAAGATAAGGTGTCTGTAGGTACTTGGATTTATCTCTGGGATTTCTATTTTGTTCCATTGATCTATATTTCTGTCTTTGTGCCAGTACCATACTGTCTTGATGACTGTGGCTTTGTAATATAGTCTGAAGTCAGGCAGGTTGATTCCTCCAATTCCATTCTTCTTTCTCAAGATTACTTTGGCTATTCGAGGTTTTTTGCATATCCATACAAATTGTGAAATTATTTGTTCTAGTTCTGTGAAAAATACCATTGGTGGCTTGATAGGGATTGCATTGAATCTATAGATTGCTTTGGGTAGTATACTCATTTTTACAATATTGATTCTTCCAATCCATGAACACGGTATATTTCTCCGTCTATTTGTGTCCTCTTTGATTTCTTTCATCAGTGTTTTATAGTTTTCTATGTATAGGTCTTTTGTTTCTCTAGGTAGATATACTCCTAAGTATTTTATTCTTTTTGTTGCAATGGTGAATGGTATTGTTCCCTTAATTTCTCTTTCTGTATTCTCATTGTTAGTGTATAGGAATGCAAGGGATTTCTGTGTGTTAATTTTATATCCTGCAACTTTACTATATTCATTGATTAGCTCTGAGAGTTTTCTGGTAGAGTCTTTAGGGTTTTCTATGTAGAGGATCATGTCATCTGAAAACAGTGAGAGTTTCACTTCTTATTTTCCTATCTGGATTCCCTTTATTTATTTTTCTGCTCTGATTCCTGTGGCCAAAACTTCCAGAACTATGTTGAATAGTAGTGGTGAGAGTGGGCACCCTTCTCTTGTTCCTGATTTTAGGGGAAATGCTTTCAATTTTTACCATTGAGGATAATGCTTACTATGGGTTTGTCATATATAGCTTTTATTATGTTGAGGTATGTTCCTTCTATTCCTGCTTTCTGGAGAGTTTTTATCATAAATGGATGTTGAATTTTGTCAAGGGCTTTCTCTGCAGCTATTGAGATAATCATATGGTTTTTATCTTTCAATTTGTTAATGTGGTATATTACATTGATTTGCAGATATTAAAGAATCTTTGCATTCCTGAGATAAAGCCCACTTGGTCATGATGTATGATATTTTTAATATGTTGTTGGATTCTGTTTGCTAGAATTTTGTTAAGGATTTTTGCATCTATGTGCATCAGTGATATTGGCCTGTAGTTTTCTTTTTTTGTGGCATCTTTGTCTGGTTTTGGAATTAGGGTGATGATGGCCTCATAGAATGAGTTTGGAAGCTTACCTTCTTCTGCAATTTTCTGGAAGAGTTTGAGTAAGATAGGTGTTAGCTCTTCTCTAAATTTTTGGTAGAATTCAGCTGTGAAGCCATCTCATCCTGGGCTTTTGTTTGCTGGAAGATTTCTGATTACAGCCTCAATTTCCTTGCTTGTGATGGGTCTGTTAAGATCTTCTGTTTCTTCCTGGTTCAGTTTTGGAAAGTTATACTTTTCTAGGAATTTGTCCATTTCTTCCAAGTTGTCCATTTTATTGGCACAGAGCTGCTGGTAGTAGTCTCTTATGATCCTTTGTATTTCAGTGTTGTCTGTTGTGATCTCTCCATTTTCATTTCTAATTTTGTTGATTTGGTTCTTCTCCCTTTGTTTCTTAATGAGTCTTGCTAACGATTTGTCAATTTTGTTTATCTTTTCAAAAAACCGGCTTTTAGCTTTGTTGATTTTTACTATGGTCTCTTTTGTTTCTTTTGCATTTATTTCTGCCCTGATTTTTAAGATTTCTTTCCTTCTACTAACCCTGAGGTTCTCATTTCTTTCTTCTCTAGTTGCTTTAGGTGTAGAGCTAGGTTATTTATTTGACTTTTTTCTTGTTTCTTGAGTAAGCCTGTAATGCTATGAACCTTCCCCTTTGCACTCCTATGTCCCATAGGTTTGGGGTTGTTGTGTTTTCATTTTCATTTGTTTCTATGCATATTTTGATTTCTTTTTTGATTTCTTCTATGATTTGTTGGTTCTTCAGAAGCGTGTTATTTAGCCTCCGTGTGTTTGAATTTTTAATAGTTTTTTTCCTGCAATTGAGATCTAGTCTTACTGCATTGTGGTCAGAAAAGATGACTGGAATGATTTCAATTTTTTTGAATTTACCAAGGCTAGATTTATGGCCCAAGATGTGACCTATTCTGGAGAAGGTTCCGTGTGCACTTGAGAAAAAGGTGAAATTGATTGTTTTGGTGGTGAAATGTCCTATAGATATCAATTAGGTCTAGCTGGTCCATTGTGTCATTTAAAGTTTGTGTTTCCTTGTTAATTTTCTGTTTAGTTGATCTATCCATAGGTGTGAGTGAGGTATTAAAGTCTCCCACTATTATTGTGTTTTTGTTAATTTCCCCTTTCATACTCGTTAGCATTTGCCTTACATATTGCGGCGCTCCTATGCTGGATGCATATATATTTATAATTGTTATATCTTCTTCTTTAGCCCAGATTTTAAAGCTGAAATTTCTACATTCAAAACAAAGTAGCGATTGCATGTGTCATACTCATCAAACTGTATCCATTCAGTATGCACAGTTTTTATACATAAATTATCCCTTAACAAAGCTGTTGAAACAAAGTGATGATTCTAATAGTACATTTCACTTTGAGTGTTGCTGAGAAGAAAAGGGAGAAACAAAAACAACAGCAACAGTTTTCATTAGACTCAGAAACTATTTTTTTTTCATTTATTTTTATTAGTTGGAGGCTAATTACTTTACATCATTATAGTGGTTTTTGTCATACATTGAAATGAATTAGCCATGGATTTACATGTATTCCCCATCCCGGTCCCCCCTCCCACCTCCCACTCCACCCAATCCCTCTGGGTCTTCCCAGTGCACCAGGCCCGAGCACTTGTCTCATGCACCCAACCTGGGCTGGTGATCTGTTTCACCCTAGATAATATACGTGTTTCGATGCTGTTCTCTTGAAACATCCCACCCTCGCCTTCTCCCAGAGTCCACAAGTCTGTTCTATACATAGGAGTCTCTTTTTCTGTTTTGCACATAGGGTTATCGTTACCATCTTTCTAAATTCCATATATATGTGTTAGTATACTGTAATGGTCTTTATCTTTCTGGCTTACTTCGCTCTGTATAATGGGCTCCAGTTTCATCCATCTCATTAGAACTGATTCAAATGAATTCTTTTTAATGGCTGTAGACTCAGAAACTATTTTTAAAGTGTAATTGGCTCCGGAGGAAATACTTGGGGTAAGATAGCAGGAGTAGGTTTCTTAGGAGCCGGCAGTCACCTTTAAGAAATTCTTCAGTCTGGCAGTTCTCCAAGTGCTATAACGTCCACACTTGCTGCCTAACTCTTTTAAGGTCCACACACCTAAATTTTTGATGTCATTGCAAGATTTACAGTCTGAACATGGTACAAACAAAAGAAAAAAGGAAAACATTTCGGTACAGTTGTAATTCTACAACACAAGGTGCCTTCTCTTCTCCCGGAGATCTTTGTTTCCCTGCCAACATAGTAACGACATTACTTCGGGGTCAGACCATGAGACCTCATGCACTGGAGGCTCACATTCAACCACAGTCTTCATGTCAGCTAGCCTCAGGGCCCCAGAATTTGAAGCTCACCCATTCTTTTGGGTAGAAGAGACAATTTTACTTACTTTCCAGGCCAGAAACTCACTCATCAGACCCTTCATAGAAAGGTCAATTCCCACTTAAACTGCAGTCTCAGAGAAGAGCTTCAGAAGACACAGGCTAATTTCTGAAGAAGGGGGAAAGCTTCCTGAGAGCTGCTTTGACCTCCTTGTTTCTCAAAGTATAGATGAGGGGATTGAGAGTAGGGCTCAACATGGTGTATAGTACACCAGCCAACTCGCTCTTCTCTTCACTGTAGCTGGAGACAGGGCTTATGTAGGCATAGAAGACAGCAGTGTAGTACATGCACACCACAATAAGGTGGGAAGAGCAGGTGGAAAAGGCTTTCTTCTTCCCCTCCACAGTCCGCATCTTTAGGATGCTGGAGATGATGAAGCCATATGACACGATGGTCATCAGGAAGTTCAATATACCATAAAAGGCATCAGCCAGGACAATCATGATGCTGTTCACATAGGTGGAGCTACAAGAGAGAAGTAACAGAGGAGGGACCTCACAGAAGAAATGGGTGATAACATTGGGGCCACAGAAATTCAAGTGCAGCATCAGGCCAGTGTGGATGGCCGTGTTGAAGGCACACAGTACCCACACACTTGCGGCCAGCGTGCCACAGAATGCCTTGCTCATCATGGTGCTATAGTGCAGTGGGTGGCAGATGGCTGCATACCGGTCATAGGCCATGACCGTGAGGAGGAGCAGCTCAGAAGATGCAGCCCAGGTGAGGAAGTAAAGCTGGGCCATGCAGCCCCCATAGGAGATGGAGTTCTCCTCTAATACTAGACCCTCCAGTGCCTTGGGTATGACGGAAGATGTGCAGATAATGTCCATAGTTGCCAAGTTGAAGAGGAAAAAGTACATGGGGGTATGGAGCCCAGGGTTGAAGGCGATAGCCAAAATGATAAGAATATTTCCTGCAAGTGCCACAAAGTAGAGGGAGAGGAAACAGCTGAAGAAAAGCACACTGTATTCTGGGTGCTCTGAGAAACCCTGCAGGACAAATTCTGTCACCAGAGTCTGGTTACTCATGGTCCTCAGGCTGAAAGGGGTTTCTGGGACCATGAGGTGAATCTCTGACCACAGTTTCATGTGATTTCAGGGCTAGAGACAGAAACCAGAGGTGTCCTAAGGAAAGCTGCTACCCTGTTTCATTCATACCCAACAAGATGCACAAGCAATGTTAAATAGATGTATTAAGACTGAGTCAAGATAAACACAAAAATATAACAATAGGCAAAGGGTAAAACATTCAGTTCATAAAAATCAGGTTAAAATGTCCAACTGAACTCATGAAGCATCACTCAACCTCAAAGAAATGCGTGTTAAATAAACAATCCACTCTTTATCAGCCATGATTTGACAAAATTAGAAATGCATGATATTGGCTGACATTAGCACAGGTGCCAAGATATAGGCCTCTTACAATTCATATTTCATTTGAGCCAGAACATTCACTTCTGGGAATTTATCCTAAAGAAATAATGAAGAGGATCTTCAAGTTGTCATTACAGCATTATTTATAATAGTGAAAATTTTAAAGTAACCTATACTCTTAAACATGAGTCTGTATGATACATTGATATAATATATTGCAGTGTACTTATCAGACTGACATTTTAGAATGCTTATGAAATGCTGATGCTTATGAGAATAAATGAAAAAGTTTCAAAGTAAGTGTGTACAACTTTTGATCATTTTGAGTTTTAAAAAGGCATGACCTGTAGGAAAAAAACAACTGGTGAGTGATAGACTAGAATTTGAACAGTGAGGATGGATTGTAGTTGATTTCCTGTCCTTGTTTTTGCTTCTCTGTATTTTCTGATTTTTCCATTTACTAACCTTTCTAAAAGGCATATATATCATGGAATTCTCTTTCTAACAATTCTTCTGTAGCTCCCCATCACTGACAGATGAAAGGCTCCCACCTGCTACTCCTGGATCCACCTCCTCTTCAGCCAATGTCTTCCCAGTGGTCTCACCCCTCAAAGCCAAAGCTCCAACCACACCCACAACTCCTAGACTTGTCCTAGGCTTTTGAGGCTTCATTCTCGCAACCCACTCAGCCAGGAATGCCCTCCTTCTCATGAGCCAGCTTTCTTACCAGTACCCCACACTTTTCAAATATCCCTTCCCTAGAAACAAAGGACCACTTTCTCCTTTGTAGCCCTTCAGGATCCTGAACTCACTTCTATTGTAGAATCCATTACAAGTCACTTCGTGATCAAGGTATCCAAATATCTGCCCTATGGTAGGTATATCTGCCTCATTTCTCTCTGGGCATCCTTTTTGGACACACAGCCCAAGGCCTGGCATGGAACAGGTGGGCCCTCTGATATGTTTGTTGAAATAACATTGGAGAATAGTCTAGTATGGAGAAGGAAATGGCAACCCAGTCCAATATTCTTGCCTGGAAAATCCTATGGACAGGGAAGCCTGGCAGGCTACATGCATGGGGTTGCAGAGTCAGCCATGACTGAGCGACGGAGCACATAGTCAAGTATAAATAAAAGCAGAGTCCTTTCTGTTCTCAACACAGGGTACATTCTGTATTGTTTAACATAAAGTGTTTAACCACATTTGTTTCTTCCTTCTTTTCAACTTTTATTTCATTAAAATAGTTAATTAAAGGAAGATGCTCACTTTCAATTCAGCGTTCTGTTTTTTATCAAAATTCAGTGAATGCAATTATCTCTGAAGCATTAAAGGGTTTACATGAAATGACTAAATTTCACCTACAATTGAATTATATCACCATCTTTGTAAGGTTAAAACTGCTTTTTTCAAGAAGAGCATAAAATTCCTCTGACCCAGAGCAATAGGCTATGATAGTGTGGAGTCTGTTCAAAACAGATGCAAATGATGGAGCACCACCTGCTTCTTCTCTGCAGCAAAGTATCCTGTCAGTTAATCAGCTTGGTGGATATAACCAACAATGTGATTCAGCTTCTTTCATTTTTGTTTGGGACAGAAAAATAATTTATACTACTTTTGCCCAGTTTGTGTTGAGGATCTGGAGATAATATTTGCTTCCTCTGAAGCTGTTTTTGCTGCCCACCAATCTGGTGAGTGATTCCTGTTTAAGTCCAGGGACTCCTGTGAGTCTGAAAAGCTGGGGTAGGCTGAAAAGGAACAGAGTTGGGTTTGCCCCCATGGATGTCACTATAAGGTTTCTGTATTTCCCACTAGTGTCCTCCCTAGAATTCTAACCATCTGATGCCTCCAGTTATCACTCTCAGTCACTCCACAGTACAGACCACAAACCAGAGATTCAAGATGCTGTGGCCACTCCTAGGAGGAGACAGATGCTGAGCAGTAGTGTGCAGGCCTATCACATACCATTAGTGGAGCATCAAGAGAACCAATTATGAAGGAAACTTTTAGCCTGTTCCTTCTCTGAATTCAGCTCCAGAATGAAGGTTTAAAATTTTTAAATAAACTACAATATAAATGGAAGTTTTGAACAGGTACTGAGTACAAGGAAGTTTCAAAGAACTGATTCACATTCAAAGAACAAATAACCTCTCAGATAATTGCCCTCTTATTGTAATTTCCAAGGCAGGTGGACATCCTCTCCATCCAACTGTTAACAGAAAGATCAAAGAGTCAGGGCACCAAGACTCTCTCTGAGAATGACTTTAAAATCTCTGTTGGACCTCAGCCAGTCATTTCCTCTCCTGGAAACTTTTCTCTCCTGAGGTTCAGAGGGCATTGGCTTTAATTCTCATCAAGCATCACAAGATTATTACAAAGATGCAAGGGGAAAAAAAGATTTCAGGTACCAACAGTCAAGTTTTAACACATTCTACATTCAGACAACATGGCTCCCAAATGCAAGGTGATAAGGCACTTAAACAGTGGTCATTTTCCACACTCACCAGGCCACTTGGCACTCCATTTTCAATGAAAAGACAAATGCATCTTGGATGATTTAATCACTTTAAAGAAACAGTATGCAGTGTCCTCAGAATTCCTGAAATTAAAAGCATTTCATTGAGGGTTTCTTTGGGGTTGTTTTTTTGTTTTCTTTTTTTTTTTTTTTTTTTTTGGCGAAAAGGTAGATTGAATATTCTGTGGAAGGCAATTTATTTTTAGTGAATTTTTATCTTAGTTTCAATTTACTACTCTTAATTTTAAAAATGGAGAATTATTACTATTTTAAGATATTTCACTAACAATGAGTAAATTGACTACTTTCATCATCTTCATCTCTGAAGGAGTTTAAAGATATTCACAGACACCATATAATTAATCCAATGTCCTATTATATAGGAAGATAAACACTCTTATTATAAATGTAATCCAAGAACAGAAAACTAAAACTCAGAAAATGTCAAAATCTCATATGTTCAGGTTTAAATCTGAAAGATAGTTTGACGATGACCCAGTTCAACCTACTTATTATAAAATCACAAAGGCATCTAAGTAACTTATCCTAGTCACACAGAGCAGTAGTGATGAAATTGATATCTAGTACAGGGCTTTGGAATTCTATCCTAGAATTTTTTGCTATGTAATTTGTTAGTTGCCTTGCTGAATCCAACCTTGCCAAATGTCAAAAAAATGTCAAGAAAAAGAAAAATCAACCAATGATTTATATGACAATTTATTATGAGCAAGGTGTGGAAATACAAACACTAAACACTCAGCGGGTTTTGTCAACCTATTTGTTCCATTATTTCACTTACTGATTCAGTGGCAATTATACACAGTGAGAAATCCATACATGTTACTGACTCTGGATCAGCTAAAAAAAATTTAGATCTTTTATATAGCTAATGATCCAAACTAAGCAGACTTACAGTTATGAGCAGAATGAACCACCTTCAGAATATTGTTAATTATTGTGAAAAAATTCTTTCAGCTTTGTGGATTTTGAGTATAGGCGTCCCTTCTCTGTCAACCGCATCAAGGCTGGAAACGTGGTAACACTGAGGCAGTGTGTAATCTTTTAAGTCAAGAGCAGTCTAGACAAGATGAAATCTTTCTTTCCCTATTTAAGCTGTTATTAGCAAGATTCTGTGACTCTTCAGCAAAGTTTGTCACTGGCTGTGGGAGACACTGGGGAGAGATATTCTCAGTTATTTCTCTAAGTGGACTCTGAAGGAGCAATTAAATTGTCTCTTTGCTGGGTACTTAGCTGTCATCACTGTTCATACAAAGGCCAATTCAGACTTCTGATTCAAATATATGAAAAGGGGTATAAGTCTGAGCATGGGGCAGAACCAAATCTGTCTCCTAGTTCACAGAATCTGGGACAGAGCACATCCAGGTTCAGGTATTGAGAATAATGTGCTCACACTTGTGGACTGGGGAGAGTGTGCTGGCAGGAAGCCAGCATTTCTGGACTGACTCCCTGGAAGATAGAGGCATGCAGCAAACATCCCCATGCTCCCTTGCGTAAAACAGCCCTACCTAGGATGAGCTGGCCCCTCACCATCCAGCATTCATACCTTGGCTCTATTCCCCAGGTATCTTCCCTTCCCCATCCCCATATTTTCTCTCCCTACCCAAATTCTACCCAGATCTAACTCTGTCTCCTCTATCAAGCCTCTCTGACTCCCAAAAGGGAAATGATCACTCTGCTGAATTTCGGCCATTGTCAGGGTTTCCCATTTCATGCTTTCATGGGAATGACATGGGCTTCAGGGTCTTTACAGACCCAAGGTCCAATCCCAACCCTGAAAGTTCCTGGTTATGTGACTGTGGGCAAGTCTCCTAACCACTCCAGGATTTCATTATAATAAAAATAAGACCTACCTCATTATCACATTACCTAACACAAGAAAAGGGTTTGGTAATATTTTGCTTCCTTTTCCCAACTTGGCATATATTTACATAGATCTGTTGTTCTATTAGTTAGCAATCAGAGAACAGGCTAGATATCTATTATCTGACACTCTGAAAATTCCTTGAATGTAACTGGCACTTAACACATGACAGTTGGTTAAGTGAATGATTTATTTGGTTGGAATGTTAAGTGGGTTTGCCATTAAAAGGCACTCCAAAGAGTTCTAGTTTTATAAACAGTA